GCAGATACCTGATGCAGGATTTCGTCCATTCGCCGACATGCCTCTTTTAAAGAGCGGCTTGGCATCAATACTAAGATTCAGGGTTTGGAAGGGATGGGCCGGAACCGAAAATCGATGCAGGATTTCGTCCATCAACAGTACGACAATGCAAAGCTGCACTCTTCGCCCCAGATCCCCGAACAGCCGAAACGCGATCGGCTCTCTCCCGAATGCCGTTCCCATGATGGATACGGCTAAACCCCTTCACAATCCCGAAGCGCTGCCCAGGCCTTGCCATCCCAACACTGCCACAGGGAGCGCAGGGTGTGCGGCAGATCTGCGTTTGCGGCGCTTTGTTGAATGAAGCCTGGGCAGGTCTTGCTGCTAAGAACTCGAACTTGTACGATCCGTGGGCCGCCCACTGCCATGTCAACCGCTACGGGCTTGACCACTAAAAGACTCCGAGGGGCCCCTCGCACAGTTGAAGTTCTGGTCGAAGGCCTCCTTGCCCCAGATGGTCCACTTTCCAGCCTGGCCCGAGGCCCCCCCGCCCCCTCTGACAGGGTCCGGGGAAGCCTCGAAAACCTCTTGCAGGGCAGCGGGGCCCGACCCTGTGGAACAGAAAGACCTCCCAGACGCGCCGAGGAGCTGTGCCGCAGTACAGCCACCTTTCATCTTCACGTTTCCTCGGATGCGGCTTCTGCACATCTGCAGCGCCCCAGACATACCTGCGCTGCAGCCCTGAAGAGTTCGCTGACGCCCGGCGTCTTCCACAGGGGCTCCCCATTCGCTCTCGTCTGTTGCAGCTCCTGGGCGCGGTACACGCTGCCTCCCCATACACCCAACCAGGCAACGTGCACACTTCAGGATCGTTCTCTCATCAAACCCTTATCTGACTGCACAAGGAAAACCCCGTGGCGTTTTCCAAGTCCATCGCCCCTCCATCACTGGGGCCAGGCACGTAGTGGCCGGTGCAACCAGGCTTCTTCTCTCCGCCCCTGCCGGCGCTTGCTTCGGCTCTTGCTTCCGCTTCCCCCCAGATGCTCCAAACAGAAGGCTTCAGATCAGCTCTCATCGCCCTGGCCCCGGCCTGATGTGAAGGAGCTTGGGCGGCGCAGCCTGCGAGCAGAGTGCATGCGTCTGAACTGAACGCATCCCAATCTGCATCACAAGACCCACCAGCACCCAAACGAGCTTCAACCCTCAAAGAAAAACAACTGCTCAGAGGTGGAATCTCATTAAGTGTCTAAGGCTTCCTGGCTCTGGGTAAGCGAAGCAAGGGCCTGTTCCTCCTTATGTAGGGCCAGCAGGGAAGTCCTCCTAAGCCCCCAATCTACAGCTTCGAAAAGCCACGCGTTGACTGCTCAGGTTGAAGGGAAGCCTGCAAACCCAGAACCAGAGGAAGGCGAGCCCTGAGGCCAGTCCAAAGCCAACATCGGTAGACAGGCAAAGCCCCTTCCGCCAAGCCCGTTCAAAACCCAACCCTTCAACCCCTAATCACCCAAATCTCGATGACCCGACGACCTCGAACACTAAAATTCGAATGTCCGACAATTCGACCAACTCCCCCCGCAACAAGGGCGCCGCCATCTCGCGCACGGGTGGTCCCCCGCCGGACCTTGTAGTTTAAGGCTACGGCTAAGGGACGTTTCCTATGATCCTGGGCCCCATTCCGGAGCTCCGGATTATGGCTTGGGGGGTGAAGCACTGCCCCTAAACCGTAAAACCCAAAAAAACACCTCAAAACCCTAACCCCCCACATTTGGGAGAATTTCGGCCTTTTCGGCTTCGACAGCTCGGGGTTTCCGCACTCTGCTTTTCGGGCGCTTTAGAGCTTAGGGCCATTCTTTGTGAGTGTTTCTGGGTTCTAAGGTTTAGACCGCAGGGTTGATGACTTAAGGGCTTATATGCTGCAGGGCCTAGGGTTTTGCGGCTGTAAGTATCTGCGATACATGCTCATGTGGAAAGGTTGGCTTCTCGTGATCTGGCAGAAAAATGTTCGAATACCCTTCACCCTGTCCACATCCAGCATTTGCGTACTATGCATAAAGCCTCTACGAAATTCCGTGTTGCTCCCATGTCCGAATAGATGCGTCCTCTCTGTCGAATGTAAAAGCACGCCTTTAGGGAAGTTTTCATGCTGTGTTCGGAAGTCTTCTTGTAACACATACTGCTCGCGGTTTGCCGCCTCCCCAGGTGCCCAGTTTGTTCCTTTGCTTCTTGCACCTGCTCCCCAGATGGCACTTTGCATTGATGTATGTTGCGAGTAAAGTTTTGCATCTTGCCCTGTTCTTTTCTGTGTCAATGTTTGCTGTTCTGAGCGTGATGACACTGCCTGCTGTCGTAAACTGAGCTACTGCCTGTTCTGGTACAAATCAATGATGCGTCCCGCCTTATCGCTCGTTGATTGAGGAAGTTTCTCTTTGATTTCTCAGCCGGGTCTTTAACACCTTAAGATATTCTGAATAGTGATTCTGTATTCTGAATATGAGATAATGATTTGTCCTCGAAGTCTTGCAATAATCATCTAGAAAAGCTGAAGGAGAGTACTACCACAAGAAGGAAGACGATCCCAGTTATGCTGAAAAGAAGCAGGAATCATCATTGAAAAGCTTCCGTGAGAAACGGCTTGAGAAACACTCATCAAAAATGCAAGGTGAATGTCAATAAGCTGAAGTTGAAGACCTAGAGGAAGTGACGACCATCAACACGAAAAAGCCGGAAGCGTGCCAAATTCAGCATGAAAAACTGAACGGTCATTCAACGCATGGAAGATTAACATGATGACATGGTAGTTTCAATCATGTCGCATTGGCTGGTGTATGAGTGAGACACAGAAAAGTCGCTAACACTGTAACCGATAAAGCGGGATCCCGACGGGGTACATTGACAGTTGCAAAAAGACAAAAAATCATGATTGCATATGACTACGGACGACATCACCGATCCGTCAGGCGCAAATTGAAGGAAAAAAGAATCCGGTCAGACGGAACAGCTTTGAGGACCCTAGTCGCCTAGTCCACCTATGAGCATCCAAAGGGCCTCTTTGCTGAAGTATATACTGGCTTAGTCAGAAGTTGAACATGAGAAAGTTACTGATCGATGTTTTTGCCGAGCGTATGCATGTAGTTCTCAAAACAGCAAGAAAGAGGAGGATTCGCAAGTGGGGCTAATCCAGCGTTAAGGGCAACGACATGTAGAGCACTGCCTCTGAGAAAGCCTGGTGCCTGGTCTGCAAGACGAAAGTTCGTGAACAAATGCTTTTGCCAAGGATCGAAACTGAGACACCGCAGATGCCAGCGAAGGCTCAAGACCCTCAACTTCCCTCAACGCAACACTTTTTGCACGGCCGCTCCTTACATGTCATATTTAGTTGTTGCGGCCACGGCCAACGTAGCGACCCCCTTTGAATAAAACCTTCCAAAGCCCGTTCATCGTTCGATTACTACATGCCAACGGGCTGCATCAGATTTGACTCAACGCCCCGAAACCAGAAAAATCAGAATATATACACCTACATGTATGCACACATGTATGTGTGTGTATGTATATATATATATGTATAGGTACATAAAAGAGCCATAGTATACATATCTGTGTCCATCTGTGCATAGAGCTATAGGTCAGCATTCCGGGTACTGAAGAATCCACGTGGCCGGCCACTTCCAGGCGCACCAGAGCGCGTAGCTCGGCTAGTTGCTCCGTGCGGGAGGGCTGTGCATTGAGCCGAGGGCGGCCAGCACAGATGAGGTTTTAGGCGAAGGCTTTGGGGGATTTGGGGGTTTGGGGGTTTGGGGGTTTTAGGGGTTTAGGGGTTTAAGGGTTTAGGATGTGGGTTTGGGACTACGGGCTTTCACTGCAACTGTGGCCATACCGTACAACCCGAGCTTTTCACCGTCGTGTCTCCCTCACCGGTTCAAACAAGCACGAACCCTTCATGCAGCACGGGCGAGGTCTCTTTGTAGGCGCGAGGAGCCCGCATCGGAGTTTTGTCGATGCCCCCGATGTGCTTCGAGCTCCAATGGTCATCTGCTGTCACACAACGTACAGACATGTACAGACCGTCTGCCATCTTGGCCAACGGACGCATGAGACAGATAGACCTTGCTGTGCTCAAGTACTTCGTGGTCACTGCGCACCTCGGCTCAGACATGATTCACGGATTGTGAGTCGTGGCCCGACCCAAAGTCACGAGTCGTAATCATGGACCCATACACCCTAAACTAGGCCCCAAAACCACTGGGCTTACCCACCATACATGCCAGTGCCAACCGGGAATATGTAGAAATCCCCACGGCCCTGGATGGCGCTAACAAGAATTAACAGGGGATCTCACCATAGCCACCTACCTCGCCGACGTCGAAACCGCCGAATCGAAACTCCCGGGGATGATAAACAAGAAGGGTACTCCACCATGCTTCAAATTCTGCTTCGCCTACGCACCGCAAGAGAGTCGCTGCTGATGCCTCTGTTGTCCGTGTATGGTCCAGAGGTCAGGTGGAACTTCCTCAGGCCATCGTCTGGGCCAGTCAATGCCTTACCGTGTTAAAGTACAGCCTTTTCGCATCCTTGTACCGGAAGAGGACGCCCACTTCACACGACTGATCTTTTGACTGCGGGTCTTTCACCGTGGTACTATATACAGGCCGCAACTATTGGACAAATGTTTTGGGAGATGGCGTGCAATAGCTATAGTAAGAAACCAGAATAATAGCGATATCTATTCAGGCTTATGGTTTTGCGAGCACCGCAACCGCGGTTTTGGGTTTAGGATTGAGGGCCTGGGGTTTTGGCTTATAAGGTCTGTTAGTGAGAAGATGGGGAGTATACTACCTCAGCAAGGTTAAGCATTGCTGACGAGCTATACCCAAAAAAAACACATGAAAACTGCGAGACAACGGAAAACAAGCAGAGATCCTAAACTCTTAAAAAACGGAAGAGGCCCTCAGTTCAGGAGCGTCACTCTTCTGGGTTTAGGGCTTCTGCATCATCAACGCGAAAACCCTACTAAGCCACAAGCCCCACTGTTAACACCTAAACCCTCAAAGCAACAAGGAAGCCTTCAAGGAGCCTCTCAAGGAGCCCAGATCACTTTCAAACTACTGGCAGGAGCCCTGAGGCCCTGAAAAGCGCGACAGCCCCTGAAGCTTAAGACTTAAAAGCCATTTCTTCGAAGACTTTTGTGGAAGTTGAGTCTAGTTATCTTGCTCTGACAGAACCTTAACATAGCACCTTAGCAGCCCCAGTTGCCCTAAACCTTACACTTTAAGGCCCTACAACCCTAAACCCTACAACCCCAATCCCAAACCCTCAACTCCAAACCGTTAAACCCTAAAACCCTAAACCCTAAACCCTCAAACCCTAAAAACCCAAAGCCCTAAACTGCAGTCTGGGGGACAGGTGCCTCAAACCACCAAAAAGACGAGGAGAAGCCACGAGCCTCGGACAAAGAGGCG